AGATTTATAAACATCTGTGTTTAACACGAGACACTATGAAGAGGCAACTTTAGATCTGTATGCAGCTCTCCTCTGAAGTCTCTCCCTTGACTTGTTTTTCCCCTCACACTGCAGGAATGTGGTTTTCCTGCCCCGCAGCGGAGCAACGCTGCCCCCCAGAGGAGAGAAGGGGAACAGAACAGGAGGCACTGAAGCACCCCCTGCTGGACAAACAAACAGGCCAAAGAGACAGAAGTCTGATGAAATCTGAAGAGTGAAGGATGTCTCTGAACAGATCATGATTTTAATGTAACTTACATTTTGAGTTTGTTTTAAACTCGGTTGTTTCTGTGTTTCACTCTGCAGACGTTCACACACTCGGCAACATCTTTCAAATTCCTGAGCAAATGAGAGTCCACTTGAGCGACATAGATCATGCACTTCTTAAATTTGCTGATTTATACAAGTTTCTTTACAGCAGGACGTCTACTTTTTGCTTCTTTATAACAAGACAAACCCTGGTTAACCTGCTTAGAAACAAACAGATTATGATTGTCATTTCATCATCTGACCCTGCTTCAATAACAACTGTTTAAGTACACATTGAGCTGCCACGATGTCATTCAGATGGTCTTGTTTGTTTCCTGATTTCACACACAGAAGCCTCCATGTTTTGGGACGTTGTGCTCCGTCTCCCTCCTCACAGATTGCTGTGTGGTTCTCAGTGAAGCTGCCCTCTCTCAGCGTGATGTAAGCTCTCCAGGATGGCAAAATGTTCACATGAAAATGTCAGAAGTGCTCCACTGTGCTGCTGGAGTTGTGTCAGGTTTTTTCAACCCACAGTGGAAAGATCGCAGCGCTGGCAGCAGCTCAGCTCGGGCTCTGAATCGGGAGCTCTGCAGGCAGATATTTTTGGTCTGGAGGGTGTAAAAACTCTGGGCAACACATATCACCAGAAATTGCCGGTTTGTGCGACACTGGTTACCATTAAGTGTTTTCCATAAAGGATGGTAATTGAAAGAGTGGCTCAGGGAACGATTTCTCTTTCTGTGACATGATTCTCTGAAGTGCAGGAAAGAGGGAAAATAGCAACAGGCGAAAAACAAGTGACATAAGAGGCTGGAATCTACTACAACCAACCCTAAAATTAGTGTGAGGGCTGCCCCGGGACTATTTGTGCTCGGCGAGCGGAGATAAATAGTTTAATGTGAAGGACAGACACGACCGGGCTCCTGAGAAATCCCTCGAACGTGTCCTCCTCGTCTGCTGCACAAACCGCTCGCCCATCACAACGCTCCTCGGCTTTTTTATTGGGGGATGTCGAGCTGTTCCAAAACATTACGTCAGCTCTACTGTAACAGGCGACATGGCTACCAGGGAGGGAGTGGGTCCACACACACACACACACACACACACACACACTGGAGGACAGTAGTCCATTGTGCTGTCCTCATAATTACATAAGCAGGAGAAGTAGAGGGAAGCATAAAAACCGAGTCGGATGGGAAGAATGGTGCAGTAAATGAAGTATCAGAGGAGAATAACACCTCGTATAAACATACAGTAGGAGAGCTCACACTGAAATACAACTGTGGTGACGTGTCAGAGAAACACATCCCATGGTGCGGTCATGAAGCTCGTCTCGCTGCACAATCGCTCCATTGAAGTTGCACTTGAAGCTTTAGGCGCTGACTTGTTTTGTTCAGACTTTTAAACCCCTGCGAGTCGTTCAGGAAGCAGCCAACATCGGCGGCTCAATACGGACGCTGTTACACAGTTTGTCGTGTGACACGTCCCGACTGATAAGAGAACAGAGCGTCGTGTGTTTGTTTGAATTGTTGTTGAAGACTCCCAGCTGGCAGACTTTCTACACACAGAGTTAATATTAGTTTCATGTGTAACAAAGGAAGGGACACATTCAACTTCATGCCTCTTAAAGAGACAGAACTTTAAACAAGTCAAATGTTCAACACTTTATTAAAAAACACATCGAGGAACAGAAATCACAATAATAAAAAAAACGAGGAGGGCAACATTTGTAAGACACAAGACACAGTAAAACATCCTGTTGTTTCTTTCATGTGATGATTGTAAGACTCGACCACAAAAGCCAGTCTCTGGTCTCACATGTTTAACTTTTTCATCTGTTCATTTTCTTCCACTTATCTGAGGTCGGGTCGCGACCCCAGACGTCCCTCTCCCCAGCAACATTTTCCAGCTTGTCCTGGGGGATCCCAAGGCGTCCCCGTATTTGAATCTAATTAAAGCCGAGCCCGCCCAGAACCTGATTGATAGAAGTGATCCATTAATGTACATTTTAAAAGATTTGATCAGAACCTGAAGTCGAGGCGTGGCTGAAAAATATTTTTGAGCGAGGAAACAACATTTTTTAAAACATTTTTAGTCCTTTGAATAAAAGATCCACTAAGTGTGTTATCATTATGTAAGTGAATTTGTGAAAATCTAATTTTGACAACCTTAGCGATCTCTGGCCCCGGGACCCAACGTGTTCGACATTTGGACCCAGAAACATTTAAAATGAAGAAAGTCCCATTAACCAGTTTTTCATCAAATAATGACACTGAGCTGTTGGAGCAGAACCTCCACTTATCTACTGCAGCTTGTGGAGCAGATCCAGGACCAGGCTGGCCCTCTGGTTCTGCAGCAGCAGCCGGGCATGCTCGATGGTGCAGGAGAACTGGGGCAGAGCAGGGAGGGAGTCCAGGACCTGCTGGGAGCTCAGAGCCCGGGCTCTGGCCTGAGTCATCACAGTTTGGATTTGGTGGAGCTGGTCTGGATCTGTGATATTGAGGGTCTGGGTCTGTTTGAAGGTCAGGATGAGGGAGCTGAGGTGTCTGTGGAGCAGCTTCACCCACTGGACAGGCTCCGCCCACAGGTTCAGGTCCCCCTTCTCAAACAGGAAGTCCTCTTCATCCTGGTTACAAACACAAAAGGTAAGTCAAGACACTGGGTTTGAAGTTCAATCAGGAGTATTTGTGGAGGCTTGAAGGCAGCAGAGCTAGCTGCAGGTATGACAGAGATGAGTTCTTGAGGAGCAGGAATCCGTTTTTAACACCCTGACACTGAATGCATCGTCCCTGTTAGTACTTAAAAATTACATTTGTGATTAAATGATCCTTTTTTAAATATCTCTAACGGTCTGTTTGTTCAGTCTGGGAGGTTCTTGTTCTGAAGTGTAACAATGTTTTCTGTGTCTCCTCGAGGTCACCCAGACTGAAAACAGATTCTCACCACTGGACTGGAAACGCCGTCTGCCTCATCATCGTCCTCTTCCTCTCCTAAAAGCCACTCTGTCAGAGCGAGGACCCCCGCTGGGACCCGCCCCCACACCTCAAACAGCCGACAGAGGAGACCCACAGCCGAGTCCAGGGCTGCAGGAGGACACACAGACACACCTGAGGACACACCTGAGGACACAGAGAGAGAAAACAATATCTCAATACCAGAGCAACAAAAATAAAAGTCCTTTGTCCTTATTGTATCATTTTAAAACAGGAGGAATGGAAACTAGAGAACATTTTGGTAACCTGAGCAGACACAGAATATGAATAAACAGTAAACACACACGTTCAAAGACCAGAAGCCGTCTCTGTCAGCATCACTAACAGCCTCAGGTACAGGTGTTTATTATCCACACACACCTCCACCAGAGGTCGGGTCAGGAGGTGAGTGTGTCAGCTGAGCAGTGAGTGAACTTTTGGCCGTTTCACCTTTCGTCTGAGGATGAACTTTTCAAAGACTGCAGGACCTCTGACCGGGGATTTAAGCCCCGCTCCGGCTCCTAATGAGGCAAGAGGTCAGGGATACGAGAGATGGAGGAGAAGCTTCAGGAAAGTGGAGGTGTTTTCTGAGAGCGCGGTGCAGAGTGCAGACTTCTGTAAAACTGAGTCCGAGTGACCACAGCCAGATTTCCGCTGCTGAGATGCGCATACACAGGTGTGTAACAGAGAGGTCGTACATGCCTGTGGAGAACTGTGTGAAGGGCTGCGTGAAAGGAAAATAATACCGCTCACTCGTGTTTCTGTATCCCAAAGTCATTCAATCAAAAGTCTGACCGAAGCTCAAACTGAAACTAAAGATTGTAAATGAACCCCCTACTGAACAGTGCACAGTTTGTAAAATAGTGTGCGTGTTTCTGTGCAGTGAGTCCAGAATCTGTTCAGGCTTCAGGACCGTCAAAAACCACCATCAAAGAAATATTCCTCATCACTGAGCAGCCGTGTGAGAAAGAATGATCTGAAACCAGAGCTGCTTTAAACGACGCAGAGCTGACAAGAGTGATCCTATTTTAGAGACAGGACAGCAGATAGAGTCAGAAATCAGAGAGAGAGAGAGAGAGAGAGAGAGAGAGAGAGAGAGAGAGAGAGAGAGAGAGAGAGAGAGTGGGGAATGGCGTTCAGGAGAGGAGCCACAGGTCGGATTCTAACCCGGGCCGCACACTTTGAGGTCCACAGCCTCTGTGCACTCACTTACCACTAGGCTACCAGCGCCCCCATTCCAAACTTAGTTAACGTGTGTGTGTTGGTCCTGTAGATGTGTGTCTGCTCTGAGATTGGACGCCTCTCTGGGAAACAAAACTATAACTCATATAACCAACCGTCATCAGGGTGTGTGTGACTCAAACCATCCGCCACGATGCATAAATATGTGCACGCACATGCAGCAAGACACGGCATTGCTCCTGCAGGAGAGTTTTTACTTTTATTATGAACTCTGGCCTCCATGTTTGATTTGATTTTTGACGTCAAAATCACTAAAAGGTGCAAAAGTTTGTGCACAGCAATGGAGCGGGCTGCACCTCAACCGTTGTAGGCGAAGGTGTCCGTCAAAGAGCATCAACTTAAAGTTCATGTTTTTGTCTCTTACATGCTCAGGTTGTTCTTCTAAGTGTGTGTCAACATTACAGAAAGGATCCCTACAGAGGAAGAGCTTTTAGTTGAAGAGGAAGAGGATCTTTTAAACTTGAAACAGCGGTTACATCACTCTCGTCAAAGACACCAGACTCCATTAATAAAATCACTGATTTTACCTCACAGGACACAGGAGCTGCTGCTCTACCGCTGCCTCAGTTATTTACTTTGTGTTTGTGTGACTTGGATGTTTGGTTATCTTTGATCAAAAACAATATTAGTATTACAGACATTCACACACAAACAAAATGATGAAGGCAGCAGCAGAGCAGCAGCTCCTGCATCCTGTGAGGTTAAATCACCAATTTTATTAATGGAGTCTGGTGCCTTTGAGCAGTGCGGCTTGACAGCTTGTCTGGCTGCCTGCACATTTAAAATAAGTCATAAAGAAGTAGTTTCAGAGTAGCTTTTTTACACAACGCCCTTTGCACACACACTAACACACACACAGTTGTGTGTGAGAGAGGAGGAAGTGTAAGAATACACACATCAAACGGAGGGAAAACACAACGTATGACTTCATTTAACGACTCCAGTTGTTCACACAGGCACAACTTGTTGTCGTTGTGTGTGTGTGTGTGTGTGTGTGTGTGAGTGTGTGTGTCTTTGTGTGTGTGAGTGTTGTTCGCCCACCTTGACCATCCTCACCCCAGCTGACACCCAGATAACAGCAGACGCTTCAAAAGACTTTGAGAGCCACCAGACAAAACACTACCAGTATGGGAAGAGAGGGTGGAGGTATACAGACCCCCATCAGCACGTATACAGTATAACACAGTCACACACACACACACACACACACACACACACACACACACACACACACACACACACACACACACACACACACACACACACACACACACACACACACACACACACACACACACACACACACACACACACACACACACACACACACACACACACACACACACACACACAGGGCTGGGATGAGAGAGGAGGCGTGAAATCATGGAGGGAACATTAGAGGCTGCTGATTGAACCATGTTAGAGGAGATTTAAGAGTTTAGCAGCTTGAATGACTAATTCCTTTTATTTACCGAGGAGCGGCCTCTCTCTGGGACGGCCCTGCCTCTGATGTCAAGCACATACACAGACACACACACACACCCTACCCCCCACATTAAAGGACATAATAGGAAATCTTAGCCGCTCTCCGTTTATCTACTTTTCTACGGTGGTTTCACACATCGCTTAACATGATTTCCCTCCCGAAGCTTTTGGCGCAAAATACTCTGTTTCTCAAGGGGATTGTCTTACACACTGTAACAGGCGTGTGTGTGTGTGTGTGTGTGTGTGTGTGTGTGTGTGTGTGTGTGTGTGTGTGTGTGTGTGTGTGTGTGTGTGTGTGTGTGTGTGTGTGCTGGCATGTGTTTAAGTTGGTATTGTTTGCATTGAAAGAGTGTGTGAGTTCATGTCAAACAATCTCGTCTCTGTGGATGACAATGTCAGAGCCAGTTGGTGAATGAATGGGTGTGTGTCTGTCTGTGTGAGTGTGTGTGTGTGTGTGGCAGTTGGCATGCATTTGCACTCTTAAGCACATCTGAGCTGGGCAGGGCAGGGCAGGACTGTGGGGGAAAAACTGAACCTCGTGCTGCTTGATGAAACAGTCGCTCTATTCTGAGCAACTGCTTTTAATAAACTGAATTCAATGATTTGTATTTCTTGTTAAACACTCGGTGTCCCTGTGTTAACAAAGTGCTTTAAGGCCCTGACACACCAAGCAGACAGCAAAGAACTAGTGGCCTTCATCTTGGCCAAAAAGTTGCACTTGAACACACCGCAAAGACTACAACCGATGGCCAACCACCACGTAGGTTCTGCACATGCATGAGAGGAAATAACTCTCCATACCAGCAGGTGGAGGTAGTCTGTTGTTATGTTACAAGAAGACCATTTTCACACCGCTGTCGGTCACCCCTCGTATTATAGGTCGTCTACTAATGGAGAATAATGTCTGATAAAAAGTTGAAAATGGCGCTGGTGTTGTCAGCTCTTGGTCTTTTAGTGGAAAAAGAAAAGAAGAGGCGGAGGAGACAAATAAGGAGAAACCGCACTAATGGGTGAAAGCGTGGATACTACAGCAACATGCTCAAGGGGCTTTACTGAACCTGAGAGGAGAGCTGGAGAGAAATGAAACCTTCCAACAGCCAATCAGAGTGATTCCTCTCACTGCAGCCGACGGGGGCCGACGGGTAACAACGGAGTCAGACACAATGCAAAAACAAGGGTGACGACCGCTCACCAACGGTCCAACTGGGACCGACGGTCGACGATCTCCTTGGTTTGTCAGGGCCGTTGGATAGATTCTGCATTCATCCACTGGGGAAATTCAGGAGTATCCAATAGCTCACACAGATAAATTAAAACAAACGGTGAAAAAGACAATGTTGACTTTATAACAGGACTACAAACAGAGTCATGAATACCTACAAACTGCATTGACAGAATTAAAAGATTATTATTTAAACAGTATTTATGTGTACATTAGATGGAAGAATAACAAACACGTTGGCGTTCAGACTTTTGTTTCCATCATTCAGCTGTGAGTTTAAACTTGTGGCGTTCAGCTGCGTCCCGGTTTGTGCTGCATACTAACTCACAGCAGGGCTCGAATAGGAAACATTGGGTACACTCAAAACAAGACAGAAGGTCAAATTGTTGTTTGTCAGGATGGTGCACGGTGTAGACATAAATCAAAGCGGAGTGAATTCTTCTTGTGTTGAGCAGTAGGTTGGTAAACCAGCTCAGAGAGGAATATCTACTCTGACCGTGCTAGAGAGAGAGAAATGGGAGGGCTGGTTGTTTGGCATACTGGAAACTTTGGGTGCTTAATAAAGGATAATGTGCAGTGGAGGCATGTTCTTATTGTGAAATGGGACCCCGACAGGATGAGCAGGACCCTGACGCAGAGTGTTTTCTGAGCCTGATTTAACACACTCGCTAAACTCCTGGAAATATTTCCCGAAATGTTCGGTGTGAGCTGCATGTGTGAACCAAGTGGACAACTTTTCACTCTGACTTTATTCAAACTTTTTCCTGCCAGCGTCCTAGAGAACTTTCCAGGGTGAGCTGATTTTCTGGGAGATTCAGGGGCAAGTGAGCGAGGGTTTAGATGGTTGAGCGACCAGTGCGATCTTCTTGAGTTGATACTCTGAATATGTCCAATTAATCGGACTCTGTTTCTTTATCTGCCACCTCTGCATCATGTGACTCCCCTCTGTCCTCCTGCTGTGACGTGCATATGTGAACAAGCAAGTCAGGAAGATTTCAGCGGCGGTCTGCATGAAGATTTTTCAGAAAAGTACAGGAGTGCATTTGTTTAAAAAAAAAAAAAAAGGCCTGAGTGTTTTCTGAGAGTTTGCTGCAGACGCTGCAGAGGAGCCGAGACTGCAGGAAGAGAAGGTGTGAGAGAGAGAGAGACGGAGGTGTGAAATAAAAACAGAGTTTACAGCCTCAGACTTCCTCCAGAG